ACCTCACCCACCTACACAGACCCAGCCATATCATCTACACCACACCAACCTACAAAGATCTAGTTATATCATCTTTGTTCCCGGGTCTGTACACCCGCTGTGCCCATTATGAGGGGTTTCCGCCATGTAACAGAAGGAGCTGGAACCACCAAAAGGGAACAATCCATGGTGGGCAGGCACACATAAGCCAAAATCTCAGGTGAACAGGAACAGAGCCCGGAGATATGGCAGGAAGATCTCACTGCTGGAGCATCCAACACGTAGTCAGGAGCTGACTCAGCACCCTAGACTCCACCTGTAACTAAAATATTCCTCCTCAGTAGTGCTGCACAATGATTGTACTTCCCTGCCTCTCTCAGGGTCTCCAGGTGTTCCAAGTCAATGGCTTGGAAGCATTGAAACCAACTGACCAGTAGGAGGGCCTGGCACTTAGACCAACGGAGGGTTAATGGTGGCAGATCTCCTTTAAAGGAGCTGAAATCAATCAATTAAACTTTAAGCCCCTCCCTGATTAAAAAAACACCCTCCCAGCTCTCCTAACCACGCCCATTCCTATACACCTGCTCCCCTAGTTGCTGAAACCTGTCACCAAGCACTACACCAGTGTGAGTAGGCCCAGATGGAAGCTTTTTCCGATCTGTCACTTACAGAGGTATTTCGGAGAGAAGTGCCGCTTCCATGGGAGGCTTCTCACACATGGGTTGCTCTGTGCAGATCCCATATAAAAAGGAGGTGATGGGATGAAGGATGAGCTGCAGAATTTCCCAAAACTGATTTCGCCTCCTGCTGACGCGCCAAAAATGCCGAAAAAGCTTTTCACTAGAGGGCTCAGCGGAAAGTAAAAGCTCTTCCCGTTTGCGAAACGCGTCGTCGTCACTGGAAGTCGAAGTCAATTTTGTGACATTTTGCTGCTCATCTCTGGTAAGGAGAACGGACGCTGGACTCATGTCATAGACCTCTGCCATACAGGAAAGGTTGGTATGCCGGGTTTTTTGTGTGGGGGGGCGGGGGGGATCCAAAAATGTGGGAACTGCAGAGATATTGGTGTGAAGAGAGACAATCGTCCCGCGGGGGGCCCCAACTTGCCTGAGAAGCCCAGCGGTTCCCCCAGGGGTCTGCGGAACTTGCCGAAGTCCTCGCTGAAGATGCCCGGCGTCTTGTCCATGAATGGCTCGCGGTTCTGGACGCCACCGACGGAGGAGGAAGAGGAGCTCTTCTTGAAGCTGTGCTCCGATCGAAATGCAGTGGAGGATTGCAGGTTCATTGAACTGAGCCGGATGGAGACGAGGGACCGGGCGACACAAAGAGCTGGAAACGTGACACTGGCGGGGAGGCAGGTGCGGCTATGGAGAGAACATCTCGCACATTCGCAGCTTATATAGTGACGTCCCGGCGTATCTCAGCCTCTCGCCGCCACCGGCTATATTTAGGAGGCTGCAGCATCTCTCGGGCAGCTGTGGAAAGTTTCTGTCTCCCCCCCCTCCTCCAGACCATGTGACTCCATTCTTCAGATAGGCCGTAATCTGCTGGGCCTGGACCTGCTCCTCTCCCACGGGGGGGGATTTCCAGCCCATCAACACAGAAGCCATCCTGGGACCAAATACAAAGCCAGTCCCTGATCCATCTGACAGGCCTGCACTGACACTCCACACCTGCCCCCACAACTCTCCATCCTCAACTCCCCATCCTCAACTCCCCATCCGAAAACTCTCCATCCGAAAACTCCCCATCCTCAACTCTCCATCTTCAACTCTCCATCCGAAAACTCTCCATCCTCATCTCCCCATCCTCAACTTTCCATCCTCAACTCTCCACCTGAACTCTCCATCCTCAACTCTCCATCCTTAACTCCCCATCCTCAACTTTCCATCCTCAACTCTCCACCTGAACTCTCCATCCTCAACTCTCCATCCTCAACTCTCCATCCTCATCTCCCCATCCTGAACTCTCCATCTTTAACTCTCCATCCTCAACTCTCCATCCTCAACTCTCCATCCTCAACTCTCCATCCTCATCTCCCCATCCTCAACTCTCCACCTGAACTCTCCATCCTCAACTCTCCATCCTCAACTCTCCATCCTCAACTCTCCATCCTCAACTCCCCATCCTCAACTCCCCATCCTCAACTC